CGGGATTAATGATAGCATGTTGGATTTTTAGAGAGGATGGCAAGGGGCAGACAAGGAAAAAAGGGAGGTCCAGCAATAAAAATGATGAAGATTAAGGTGAGATGGAAAAATAGGACCAGCGAGTTGAACAGCGTCAGCATTGGGTTGGAATGGAAGGATAGCGATAGAGAACGGAAAATAATAGAGGTAGAGAAGGACGAATCAAAAGTATGTTATTTTCCAACATTAAGATTTTATCTTGCTAGAAAATATAACAAGTTTTGAACTGAAAAGAAAGAATACATGTACTCCTATTTTCAGGTCATCCTGTTCAGTAAAATCATAAGATCTTAAGAGCGTCTTAATGACCTGTGGATTTTTTGTGATTCTGTAACTTTATTACTATATATTCATCAATTTGCTGTATACAAAATCAACTGTACTTTACTTTTAAAGATCCTAGTACTGAAATACACAATACTGCCAGACAATCATGGCATCTAGCACGAGATTGTAACAATATCCAACTAATGACGATAATCAAGGCTTACGTCACCAGTGCAAAGCAAAAAATGCCCAAGACAAAAAAAATGAATAAAAAGCAAGTACACAGAAGAAAAGATAGTAAAATCCGAAACTAGGGCAGTGCCCCAGAAAAACAAGGAACGGAGTCGACTGTACAGCAATCCATCGGTTCATTTTTAGAAAAGGACTCAGGACTTTGCACTTGGGGAAAAAACAGGATAAAAAATGTGTATCTCGTGACATTAATTGCTGCACTTAGTAGTAAGTCAAGTGTTAAATAGGTGGTTGTCAGCTTTCATAGAAGGCCTGGTTGGAAAATAAAAACCTTCCTTAAACCAGAATGCAATGAGATGTTTTGATGTCCTCAACCTCAGGCGGGGGTGGTGTTAGGGTGGGCATTTTGCTGGGATAATGGGACACTAATTGGAGGCAGTCTGTTCCGAGTGGACTGCTTCAATTTGTGCTTGGCCCTCGTTGAGGGAAAACAGGGAGGTTATAGGAGGTATTAGGTCGGTTAATTTGTTGCCTGGCTGAAGTGTTTGCGATGACGTCCAACGATTTGATTCCGTCAGTGGCTTGGTTTACCCCGGGATGGGACAAGAGAGAGGGGGCGTGTTTGAATAAAGAAAAATCCCTTCACACTTGTGCAATCCTGGCCAAAGTATGACCAGATAAAAGGCTAAAGCCGGAGCTGCCTGTTTTCCCATCTGCTCGGTACTTGCAGATACTTTCAGCAGGTTTGCTTTTCCTTAAGAACTTTCTATTCTTTAGAAGGATGATTATATTTCATAATAATTTTGTCAAGGCCTCAAACTTGAGAGTAAATCAAGCCCTGGGACTTAGCAAAGAAAACAGCCCCTGCACCTTAATGCTTGGCAACTGAGATTATTAAATTTGTAAAAAAAACTGTCAGTACTTCTTAGGCATCTGAACAACTTTCAATAAATGATGCCCAAATTGTTGGCTACTGTAGCTCTTTTCCTGCTCCTGGTAAATCTCATTTCTCTAAATCTCTCCCCTTGGTTTTTACTGTATTTGAAGGGAACTTAATGACTGTTGGGTGTACCACATTGACCCATACAATTTTGGCCTAGAATACCAGTGATACAGATGTCTATTTGCAAGTGCTTCTTTGTTCTTGGGGGTAATTATCAAAACAAGGTGTCATTACACCATCCTCATGGTAGTTGCAACATCACCTGGCTGAGCTCAAACAAGACAAAAAAAGATTGCAAAATGTCTGGCCACCACCTGTCGAAATGTATACATGTACAAAGGCAACTTGAAATCGGTAACCCGGTTTTTATTTTTTTTTTAGGGTGGTTGGAAACTTTGAACAGGCCAATTTGCCACTTGTGGAGGGCTTATTTTGACCGGGATTTCATTCAAGCGCTGGTGCTTCAGTATTTCTGGTATCTGGTGATTTATCACCTGGACTTGTCAAACCCCCCCCCGCCGACGATTTTTCCAGTGGGTAGTGTACACACAGTTTCCCAGACCAACTCAGGGCCTCTTCAGCTTCACTAATCTGATTTTTTTCCCCCTTTCTTTCTCTCTTCCAAAACAACAATTGGATGTATCGAGGTGATCTATGTTATCGCTGACGCGGGCTTCAAAGCCAGGATGGAAATCTCTTGTGAATTGCTTGCACGTGTAACCCAATTCCCGGGCCGGTTATCGGCCTGCCGACAACGGATGGAGGGAGATGAGAGAGAAAAGAGCAGAGATTATTGTGCTGGAGATAAGCACTTGAAAAGTTTACAGGCAATCAACTGATCAATTGAACAGGTAAGCCGAGAGGGGACATATCCTATCAGAATGTCATGTATGAGGGGAAATGCGTCAAGGATGGCATGTCAGATGAGTGAACTGTAATTAAACATGGCAAAAATATCTGCTAACATGAGGCAACCACGTAACTTTTTTTTTATCATGACAAGAGGTCTGGAGTCAATGTTTGGGGCTCAAGCAGATTAGAAATTTTACTCTCTAAAAAACAATCCACTTTCTCTTCTTTTCTCCTTCTTTTTACATCATCACACAAATACATACAGGAAAAATGGAAGGGACAGAATTCGTACAACCTTGGCATCCACTGGGAAGTTTGGGAGTCTTCTGCAGGATGGAGGCAGGTAAAAAGCAAGCCACAGTTGTTTCATGAGGCTTGCTAGCCCTTGAAAGGTCAAGCATGTGCCACTGGGTTTCTTTCAAAATAATGGGTATGGGAAAATCAGAAGGTTTTAGTCAGATATGCATCAGAGTTGGGGCCGGGGAATCACATGCCACCGGTTTGTTTCTGCAAATAGGGGGATAAAATGTACCACAGACATCAAAATATCATGCCCCTGTAAAGTTCAGCTAACGGCTAACAATGTTCTTTTACATCAACAGTCCTTATGCTATATGGTGTTTCACTGCCCCCACGCTATTCTAAAGTACGTTACACTTGACGGTGTGGCGTTTCCCCATTCACAGAATTTCATTGGTTATTGGAGAAACTTTGAGCATCACAATTTCACAAAGGCAGGTTGTTTTCTTGTTTGATCTTTGCCATGGGTTCTTGGGAATGTGAACAGGCTCTTATAAGTAAGCAGGAAACACTAGACATTTAAAAACCTGACATGGGGGGGGGACTAGTGAAGTTTTTTGAAAGAAGACAGCCCTTTCTCTGCCACCACTTACAGTCAAATCACAGATCAATTCTCAAGCTCCAACCATATATTCAAATACCCTAACACTCACTGATTCGGCTTGGTCTTTGAAGCGGGCCAGCACAGAGATAGTGACCCCTGTGTGAGTGTGGTTTCTGGTGTCAGCCCGCCCCTTTGATGGTGAGTACTGGGCCACAAACTATGTACCAAGGACGACAATCTCAAACTAGGACATGCTATCCATGATCCAGATCTGAGCTCATCTCTGGAAATCTGGACCATACTTTTGGGGGTTAACTTGTAAGCTTTCTTGCAAACTGGAGCATGGCCAATCGTATCAGATGCCTTACCATATTTGGAAGAAAAAGCGTGCAATTTTGGGGAGCCACACAGTGTCTCTCTTGTTGTTTTTTTAATGGGTGATCAGGAATAATTGTGCTGACGTGTTACAACCAACGACTGGGACAACAGTAACACCGATGACCATGGACATTGCAAGGATGGAAGGGAGTACATGGGGATTCCTAATTTAAAGTGGGTGGAAATGGAAAGTAAAGGAAAAAATAAGAACGCAAGGAGGAATCGCGGATGAGCATCACTAATTTGCTTGAAAACACCTCTGAACTGACTCCTATCTGCTGTTAATGATTTGTCACTTTGTGGCTGAAAAAAAAATCGCCCACGCTAACAAAGTTATCATCAAACAAGTACAAAGCTGTTGGATTATGAGTCAGCAAAAGTAACAGGCACAGTAGAAAAAATAGAACTGCTTTTTGGTCACCTCGTCC